TGTCTGGAGGCCGGGGTGTTAGTGGGTCTAGTGTCTGCGCTGTAGAGCGAAGTCTTGACTCATGGTCACCTGACCTGCTTGTAGTCATTGTAGAATGATCCTTTCTCTGTTTCTTGCTTTCTTCCTCTCTCCATCCCTACCTCCCTTTCATTTCCTCTCCTGTCTCTCTCCCTTCTTTTCCTTTCCCTCCTCCTTCCTTGTTTCCTGTGCTAGAATAAGAGAAAGAAAGAGAAACAGAAAAAAATGGGTGAATGTTCAAACCCGTTTCCTTGTCCCTTCTCCAGAGCCAGTGGGGTCCTCCAGTGAACGCTCACAGCTGGGGTGGGGTTGAAGCAGAGGGAGAGACAGAGAGACGGGAGAGACAGAGAGCACAGGTACACGGCTGATGTGTTTGTGACATTTGCAGTGATGTGTCAGTGACAGCACAGACATCAAGAGTGACTTGAAGTATAATGAGTGACAGAAGTATAATGACTCAAACCAGCTCTGCTCCCCACATGGAAAGGCTCGGTGTTCCCTTTGTACTGATTTTCTCCATTGGTTACCACAAAGGAATGGGGAGTCATGAGATGCTTAGCAAGGTATTATTTCTTTGGGCATGAACTTAACATTATCTAAAGTAGAGAAAAACATGGTGGTGCCAAGTCAGACATTCATAGAGTGATCCTATCTGTGGGCACCAAGTGCCTTGTGCCTTGCTTACATCCTATAATTCAGATCTAGCTAGTCACTTCCAGATGCTGGGCTCTGTCACACACACACACACACACACACACACACACACACACACACACACACTCACTCGCACGCACGCACGCACGCACGCACACATGCGCTCACACGTACATACACACATATATGCACACACGCTCCACACTGAGTGGCGGGACATGGTTATCATCAGCTTCATGGAGAATCATGCCTTGGAGATATGGCTGACTGAGGCAGAAGCTATGCCCCTCCTTCTCATCTGCTGCAAGTGTCAATCAGAACTTGCAGACCACCCTTTGGTCATGGCATCCCCCACAGATACCTATGCTTGGGTAAAAGAAGCTCTATATTGATACCACCGTATAAACATCCCATCCCACGTCAGAGAGAAAACCTAGAAGCACGTTGAAGTTTTAGCGGCACTAACAAGCTTTATTCCATGCCATTTGCAGGTGACTTTGAGGACATTTGGGGAAACCATTTCTACAGTTCCAGGTAGTAACATTTTGTTGTTATTTCTACTTGCTAGTGTCTGCTTCACAAGCTGAACAGCTCTCTCCTCTCTGCTCCCGTCCATACTTACCAGTTAGGACCTCTGCCCACTGTCTTAACTGCTTATTGACTCTCTTTCTCTGTTTGTGCCGAGGACTGGAGAGTTTGGGATTAACTTCATGGCCTACTCACGGTCAGAACTTTATTCTTTCTTTATCTTATTTTTTTCCATATGAAGTTTCCTTTTACTTCAATTTCTTAACTTATTTAATTATTTTTTTCTAATATGCTAGAAATAAACCATGTTAAGTATTACCTAGAACTTGGCAGGAAATAAAATAGATAAAATCCTCCAAAAATTACTCATCTTTTCTGCCTCTGACCACAACGCTTTTCTTCACCCTGAAGGCCCTCACTGCGTCACTCCTTCCCCAGACACCTATCTACCTCCCACTGTCTCAGCTGTGGTTTCGGCTGGAGACCACATGCTCACCATCCTGCTCATGGCCAGCAGGCGTTCTTCACACCAGTTCTCATTGCTTCCTCCCCAGGCTGGCTTATCAAACCTTCCATCTGGCTCTCCCTTCCTGGCCAGGGTTCCTCTCACTACTTCATGGCTCTTTTGCCCACAAATTTCTCTTCTCGGAACATTTCTAAGTAAGTTCCCCTGCATCTTATTATTTCCATTATCTTATTATTTCTTATTATTGTCTCATTGTATTTTATATACAACTTTATCCATGTACTGTCTTCTCTTCTACCACATTGAAATAATTGTGAAGAAAATCTTTGCAAATCTTAATGGCATTCTTCACAGCACAGAAAAGACGATCTTAAAATTCATTCTGAAGCATGTAAGATCCCAGATAGCCAAAGCAATCCTGAGCACAAAGAATGATGCTGGTGGTGATTTCTGGTTATGCTACAGAACCATCACAACAAACCAGCATGGCAATAATGCAAAACAGATGTGCAGCTCATTGCAATAGAACAAAGAGAGCAGCCATAACCCACAGAGCGACAGATACTTGATTTTTGACAAAGAGGCCAAACATACACTGTGGATAAAAGTCTCTTCACCAAAGAATGCACATATCCACACACAGAAGAATGGAACTAGACAAACTGCTTAGAATGGATGGAAGACCTTGATGTAAAACTTGAAATTCTGGAACTATCAGAGAAAAGAAGGTACAGACACCAGTATGGACTTTCTGGAAAGGACTCCGGTCACAAAGATGCTGTCAACTGACAAAAAGGACTTCATGAAATTAGAGCACTTCTGTACAGCAAGGGATAGAGTTTATTGAAGGGATGGACAACCTACAAAGTAGGAGGAAGTCATTGCTAGCTTCGCATAGGACAGAGGTTTAATATCTAACACACACACACACACACACACACACACACACACACACACACACATTTATACAATGCTTAAAACAGACTACTATATCCAGCAAAATTGCCTTTAAAATCCAAGAGAAGCTGGGTACTCACAGCACATATGGCGTGGAAGAAGAGGGTCAGGAACTAAAAGCTAACAGCTACAAAGGAAATGTGAGGTAACCTTAAACTATATGAGACCCTGTCTCTCGAGAGAGTTGGAGAGATGGCTCAGAGGTAAGCGTGCCCGCTGTGCAGATGAGAGGGTAGGAGTTCGCTCACACACAGAGCTGGGCGTGACCACACATATGGCTGCATCTGTTAGCACTGTAGGGAAAGAGATGAGCAGCGCCAGCAAGACTCCAGGCTGCCAAGTGGGGAATCAGACAGAGCAAGACACCTGACATCCTCTGCTGACTTCTGCACATGGGTGCATGATACATGTGCCCTCCGTGTGTACACACACACCACACACAAAGAAAGGAGAGAGAAAGATGTCCCATGGTCTCATCCCCCATCTCAGTCATCATGGGTATCATAAAAATAATAAACACTGAGAGTGTCAGGGAGATCCACTGTTGGTAGGAATGAAATTTGTCCATCTACTGTGGAAATGAGGATGGAGGGGTCTCAAAAATCTAAAAATAGAGCATCTGCACAACCAGCTATACCATTCCTGAAAATACACCCAAAGGACTCAAATCTGTCTACAGTAATGATCCCTGCACATCGATGTCGTCTACTGCTGCACTATTCACTATAGTCAAGTCACCAAAGCAGCCTTGGTGCACATCAGTGGATGGAGAAAGAGAATTGTCACATGTACACAGTGTACTCTTCACATAAAGAACAGAGTTATGTCATTTGCAGGAAAACGGATGGATTCGGAGACTCTGTATTAAGCAAAAATAAAACAAACTCAGAAAAAAACGCAGGTTTTTTTCCCCCATGTGTGGAAACCAGGTTGAGAGGGAGAGAGCAAGAGCGACAGAGACAGGAAGAGACACAGAGAGATAGACAGGGGTGAGAAAAGGAAGGGAAACCACCCGGGAAGAGGGGCTCACCGGGAAGAGTGGACCAGTCAGGGGCAATGAGGAGTGGATATAATCAAGACATTTTCTACACATGTTAAATGCGGAGCCCAGTGGCTCTCAGGTATGCAGAGCTTCGAGAGGGAGAGGAGGAAGGCGACGGAGGTGAGCCAGCCGGGAGCGGAGGTGAGCTAGCCGGGAGCGGAGGTGAGTTAGCGGGAGGTGAGCTAGCCAGCGGGGAGCGAAGGTGAGCTAGCCCGGAGCGGAGGTGAGCTAGCCGGGAGCAGAGGTGAGCAAGGACAGAGCTGAGGTGAGCTAGCCAGCGGGGAGCGGAGGTGAGCTAGCCGGGAGCAGAGGTGAGCAAGGCCAGAGCTGAGGTGAGCAAGGCCAGAGCTGAGGTGAGCTAGCCAGCGGGGAGCGGAGGTGAGCTAGCTAGCCGAGAGCCTCCCGCAGAGCCGGGAGGAGCGAGCCCAGCTGAACCAAGTTAAGAGACCTCAAGTCTGGGATGAACCAGAAGTGCTTCCGGAGGGCTGCTGGCTGGATCTCTGGCCCTTCATCCTGTCTGCCTGGTCTTGGTTTTCTTCGTGTACCTCTAGCCCTGACTCTCGGCTGAGATGTTGAGAATGTGGTTTCCGGAGTGAATCCTGAAAACTACTACAGACTTCTTGGATGAAGATAGGGTTTCCAGCAGCCGAGTTCCAAACAGCTAACTTTCCCGTTTAAGCCCTTGACCTCTCTAAAACAGTAACGTGTGTTTCAAACCTGTTTATCATTGTTGAGTCAATATGATTGTAGCCAGATGATACATATTTTAAATAATGTTGTATCTTAGGGCTTAAGAGAAATCTATGTGGAACTTACGCATCCAACAGGTATTGGATCCCTCGCTATTAGCCAGGCACAGTAAAAATAACAGAAAAAGGAAGTTCTTGTCGTTGTGAAGCTTTCTTTCTTGAATATTAGCCCAGCCTGGTCTACAGTGCGAGTTCCAGGACAGCCAGGGCTACATAGAGTAATCTTGTACCAAAAAACCAAAAATCAAAACAACAACAACAACAAAGAACTTTCTTAGCAAAATTATCTTCCAAGGCTGAGCAGCTAGCATTTACTCAGAGTGGCCAGAGTCCCAAAGCAGCTACTGTAAGAACTTTGGAAGATGCTGCTTTGAGACCTAATACTTTGGTAATTGGAAATTGGTTCCTGTGGTTTTAGTGCTATTCAGTATATGAGAACCCTAAAATATTCCGGGGGAGCTTAGGTCATAAGATTTGGTAAACTGTTAACAGGAGTGTTTTCAGGATATTGTTTCACTTGCCTGGATACGTTTTTGTAGAAAGTGTGATTGAAGCATCTATATTACAACACAGGACTGGGATAACACTGTATTTACCAGACCATGTGACCCACATTGTGCTCCTTACTAATTTTCTCTAATAAACATTAAGTTATATCACTTAATATAAGTATCATAATGAAACTCATTACTTTATACAGTTAATATACACCAATAGGAAGACATGTAAGTAGAGGGAGGACTGTTTGCAAAGAGGGAGGACCAGCAGGAGGGGAGGGGGGGGACCAGCAGGATAATCATTTTATTTTCTGATAGCTTCATAAAATATAGCAAGTTCCTTGAGGACTCAGTGGAATCTATATAGCTCTGTGTGGTATAATTTCTTGTCCTTGCCAATATTTGTGTGTTGATAGAATATGATTTATCTTAACTAAATGTAAGCAGAAATGGGGTTCTGAAGCTAAGTTTTAAAAGACATGACGGTATAGGATTTCTATTATGTGTGTGCAGATGTGTGTGCAGGTGTGTGTGCAGGTGTGTGTGCAGATGTGTGTGCAGGTGTGTGTGCAGGTGTGTGTGCCTGCTTTGGGAAGCCAGAAGAGGCTGTCACGAGTCCTTCTCTAAGTTTCTGCCTGTTCCCTTTAGATATGTCTCTCACAGAGAGACCGTTGGCTGGCTGGCAGCCAGACAACCCTAGTGACCCTGTCTCCATTCACTCCTCCCCGATGCTCTTACCTCAGGACACAGGCACGTGGCAGTGTCTGGGTCTTTAGGTGGCTGCTGAGAATCCAAACTCAGATCCTCATGTTTGCCCCAGAACTGGAGTTACAGACAGTTGTGAGCTGCCATGCGGGTGGTGGGCTCAAACCCAGGTCAGTGGACTTCGCTCCGAGCAGCCTCTCCAGCCCCACTATGTGGGCTGTTTTAAGAAACTATAGGGTCAGTTTGAGGAGGGAGGCCCTGTGTTCGAGACCCCTGGTCAACACAGCGGTGTGAGCAGGGCAGTGTATTTGAGAGCTATTTTGACAAGTGTTGATGTTTCTCTGTCTTGTGTCTTTTAGAAAAGCAGCGAAGTATTAATTTCCCACCCAGAGGTGGAAAACCTCAGAGAGTGGCGGCTCACATTACTGGGATGACTCGGAAAAGCAGCTCAGCCTTAATTCCAAGTAAGATCCTGAGGGAGTGGAGCTGGGGCTGGCAGGGGCGGGGCTGGGGTTGGCGGGGGCGGGGCTGGGGTTGGCGGGGGCGGGGCTGGGGTTGGCAGGGGCGGGGCTGGGGCTGCCAGCTGGGTTGGTGTGTGGACAACATCTAGCATTTGTGAGGCTAGAATTGTCCAAAGTAGTTTAGTTTTAACTTTTATCTGAAATATTTCTATGACTGTAAGTGCTCAATAATGATCAAGTATCAGATGACTGTTTTGAGAAACAAAATGACACACATGGTAACTCTCCTGCCGTAGCTGGGAAAAGTGGGCCTGAGAGAACATTGCTCCAGACTCCCTTTGGGCGGCTTTCACTGCTGCTGGTGGGGCTGCCTGGTTCTCTTTCTCCCCCTCTTGGCTTTGAACTCCGGATCCTTCTGTCTCAGGCCCCCAAGGGCTGGGATGGCAGGCAGTACTATACCTAGGATTTTTCTTCAACTTTAAAGTAATTCTCTCTCTCTCTCTCTCTCTCTCTCTCTCTCTCTCTCTCTCTCTCTCTCTCTCCCTCCCTCCCTCTCCATTTGTATCAATTCTTCCTTCTCCTCAAAAGTTCAAATTCACAGCATTTGTTTTCACCACAAGGCACTAGGATCTCCCACCACAGGGACACTTTTGAACCACCGGACTGGCAGCCTTTGCCGTGTGGGGGTGGGGCATAGCTGGCCAATGGAGGACTGAAAGGTGAGGTTCTTACCGCAGGTCAAGTGGTACAGGAGCCTTCCAGTTTCGATGTGATTACAACAGCCTTTGTAACCCGAGTCAGACTGAAATGGTAGGCAGTTGGTTTTGGATGGCATCTTGGCAAGCTCGGTGAACGAACGCTGACTGTGCTGAGCAGTGAGGGATCTCCTCGCTTTGATGCAAACTGTTTCTCATTTTCATGCAGTCTCCAAGGATGGAAAGATCTTGGGCCAGAAGATAGAATCCTGGGAGTCATCGAAGAAAGGGCATTCATTCCTCAGCTATGTACATTTGAGAAATGGAGAGCTGGTCATCCAGGAAGAGGGCCTTTATTACATCTATTCCCAGACTTACTTCCGGTTTAAAGAGGTTGAAGACACTCCCAAGGCAGTCTCAAAGGACAGAGGGAGAAACAAACAAATGGTACAGTACATCTACAAATACACCACCTACCCAGACCCCATAATGCTCATGAAGAGTGCCAGAAACAGCTGTTGGTCCAGAGATGCAGAATACGGACTCTATTCCATCTATCAAGGGGGGCTGTTTGAGCTTAAAGAAAATGACAGGATTTTTGTTTCTGTGACAAATGAGAATTTGGTGGACCTGGACCAAGAAGCCAGTTTTTTTGGAGCCTTTTTAATTAACTAAATGACCTGCAGCGATCACACACAGCCCTAAATGTCCAGTCATCTAGGTTGATGTCTGTGGTTTATATTGTTGCCAGGTCCCACGTGGAACTCAGTTTTGAGAGACGTAATAGGCTTCTGTGACAACCTCTACCTCCAGGCCCCTTCCAATCCCCAAAAAGTAGCAGCCTAGACAGGAAGTCATCGAAGACAACTCTTTTTTTTTTTTTTTTTTTTTTTGGTTTTTCGAGACAGGGTTTCTCTGTGTAGCTTGGCGCCTGTCCTGGATCTCGCTCTGTAGCCCAGGCTGGCCTGGAACTCACAAAGATCCGCCTGCCTCTGCCTCCCGAGTGCTGGGATTAAAGGCATGCGCCACCACCGCCCGGCCGTCAAAGCCAACTCTGAAAAGTTGTGATATGGATGCTGAAGTGTGGCTCTCCACACGGATGGCTTCTGTCGGGCGTGAGTAGAGAGGGACTCGGTTCTCTTTAAGGGGCTGGCCTGGGAGTTTGACCGTACTGCAGTGAGTGTATGGGAACACAAGCTGGACTTTTAGGAGGGAATTCACAAGAGTGGAGGTGGGCCTGAGAGGACTGGAAGTGAGTGTGACTACGGTTATGTTACATTTATGCAAAATGTCCAAATAATCAGTAAATAATCAATAAAAATATTATGTTGAAAAAAAATCACAGAATCTCTCACCTGGACCATTAGGAGATTTGTGTGTGTGTGTGTGTGTGTGTGTGTGTGTAACTGTTTTCTATGGTAACTTATTATGTGGTTCTCAAGTGTGAACTCTGTGATAACAACATTGTGTCCCATCATCATACAAAATACATGTGTTCATGGCTCAAAATCCACAAGTAACAAAGGTTGGACACCTCTGAAATTTAATGTATGGCTCGAGAAAATTCTCTTGACCCAGTGAGGTCCAGAGAAGCCAGTAGTTTGGACACCCCTGATTCTAGTCTTTGGGAAGTTTCCAGAAGAAAGACCATGGATACATTCTTTTATAAAATTGTTTCTTTTATTTTTTGAGATTATAATATCATTTCCTCCCTCCAAACCCTTCCATCCCATAAATCCTTCCATACTGTTCTTCAACTTCATGGCCTCTTTTTTCATTAATTACTATTATTACACACACACACACACACACACACACACACGCACGCACGCACGCACGCACGCACGCACGCACGCACAATTCTCTGTCTGTTTAGCATTACTTGTTTAGAGTCACCCTTGAGCTGAACCAGGACAACAACAGACATGCTAACGTGGATGGGAAGCCCAGGAGGCCTCAACTCTACACTAACAGCTACAAGCAATTAAGGATGCTGAGAGCTGAGAAACAGACTTTTGTAGGGAAGAGAACAATTGGATCCACTCTTGAGAAACACATCAGAGCTGCAAGGTGGACCGGTCTCCAGAAGTTGTAGCTTCTGCAGCCTCGCTGACAGTGGTGACTAATCTTTACCGTGAAGATTAACAGAGCACACCCCTAGGTGTGTCTCCTGAGGGCATTTCCCGAGAGGATTAGGTCATAGGGGTTTGTCTACTACACAGATTCAGAATTTGAATAGCTGCTTGGGAGGTAGTTAAACTGTGGAAAATGGACCTAGTCTTATTTGGGCTCTTCCCTTCATGGCACGCTCCCTGGGCTCTTCCCTTCACGGCACGCTCCCAGTCCTCCTTCGCTTTTGAGACAGGGTATCATGTATCCCAGGCTGACCTCAAACCAATATGTAGTGTCGTCTCTCTCCTCCCTCATGGAGTATGCCAGGCTGGGTGAAACAGCAGCCACTCGACAACTGAGCCGTCCCAGTCTCCATTCTTTCCTTTTCTGAACTTTGTGCCCCTATAATTTGAAAGTATGCAACATTCAGATGTTGTGGAATATTAATTTGAGATGTGTTACATTCATTTATGCTGTGAAATATCTAATGATGCAAAGATATGTTTTGTGATGTATTTATTTAACTCTATACAGCTGTGTTACTGTGTTTGCCTATGGTCTAATAAAGAGCTGAATGGCCAAGAGTGATAGGCAGGACTTCCAGGCAGAGAGAACAAATAGGAGAAGAACAAAGAACAAGAAAAGGAGAAGGAGAGGAGGACACCAGGAGCCACCCATCCACTCAGCCAGCCACAGAGTAGGAAGGGAAGAAAGACATATAGAATAAAGAAAGGTAAAAAGCCCAGGACAATTTAAGTTAGAAAAGCTGGCTGGAAACAAGCCTAGCTAAAGCCAGGCATTCATAAGTAAGAATAAGTCTCCATGTATTTATTTGGGAGCTGAGTGGTGGGTCCCCAAAAAGGAAAAAAAAGCCAACTACATTCAGATAAGAATTCTTCTTGAGTCTCAGGAACGAGTTTGAACTAGTTTCAACATGCTTGTGTTGTCCGTAAGCTTCCACCCACCTCTCCCAACATGTTTCCTGAACCTTAGGTGTAGGCCGTGTTTCAGATGGTCTTTTTAAGGTGTCTCTGCCTGGAGTTTCATTACAGTAACACAAAACTGACTAAAACCAACACATGTGATGTGTTTTAACGAAACAGGGTTTTTGTTTGTTTGGTTTTTTTAGGCCTACTTGGGGCTGGGAAGATGGCTCAGGTGTAAAAAGCACTGGTCGCTCTTCCCGAGGACCCAGGTTCAAGTCTCAGCATCCACATGACCGCTAACAACCCTAACTTGAGTTCCGAGGGATCTGATACCTCTGCAGGCAATGCATGCGCGTGTGCACAGACAGACATTCAGACAAAAATCCGTACGCATAAAATAAACATGTCTTCTTTTAAAGCTAATTTGAATTTAAGGTTATGGATAGTTGTCACTTCTGACAGCTTTTCTTTTCATGACTCCAGTCAAGCCTCTACAAACCAGCAAATGGACTTCACATCTACCATTTTAAAGTTTGCCTCCTCTTGTTAGAATACAAGCATTGTAATAGCAAAACACAGTCAGTCTTGCCTAAAATTATACCCCTACTACTTAATAAAGTACTGTATGTAATGAATGTCAACATTAAGTATGTTAATGTTAATTGACAAATTAATAATATAATTAATAAGTAGCCATATAGGTAAAGTTAATAATATAAAGAAATAATAATGGAGAAAATTTGAAAACTCAAGGTGGAAGGAAAAGGCACTTGCCCAAAAATTAAAATCTCCATCAAAGGGAAAATGCACAGCCCCCCTCTTGTTTGTTGGGCTGGCAAGTGAAACAGTCTCTGAGTTCTGCTTTTTATGTTGAACACAGTCATTCCTCGTTTGCTGTTTCCATATGGTCCGCAAGTCACGGTCCCCAGGGTCACTCTGCCCCAGAGTCTCCTGGGGAGAATTTTATAATGTTCATGCCTGGATTCAACCACAAACCAACAAGATTAGAATCTTGGAATGGTGCCCAGGGATCTTTTAGTGTGTGCATTTTAATTTCCTCAAGTAATTAGCAGGCAGCCTGGAGGACACATATTTACCAAAACATCAAATGCTGTGATTTAGAAATTAAATATTTAAGAAGGCAACATACCCAGGCACTCATGAGTAGATGTTCAAAGATTCAATTCATGGGCAACATTAAACTCCATGACTTGTTTAAAGAAGCATGACTACATATTCTTTCCTCTGCTAAAATCTAAAGCTTATGACGCCGGAAGCAACAGTGGAGAGAATATTCCAGAATGATGGCTTTGTGGACGATCGTGAGTCCTTTTTTAAAAGGCACGAATACTTATCTATTGGAAAAGGAAATAAATGCAGGCAGAGGGGGCAGGGACTGTCCATCCCTTGTTGAGTTCCAGTCCAGCAAACCTCCTGACTTGAAGGATAAAGACAAAACTGCCATTCCAGCTTAACCAGACTGGAGGGCCTGGCCAAAGCATGGCGTTTTAAGCGACAGTGATCCCAGAGGAGAGGTCAGCTCTACAGTTTTGGAGAAGTGTCTGGACAAAAGCTTTTGTCTTCAGACCAAAAGGGGCCAGCCACCTTATTGTGGCATACCATGAGTGCCACCAGGTGGCGAGGTTCCCTTCGTTTCCTCCAGGTATCTATCCCTCTAAAGACCTGAGTATGAACGTCTTCAGATTCTTAGGTTTAGGTAGGTGGCTTACCTTTGGACAATAGGCAATCGAAGCTACAGACAAGAAATAAGCTTGTGTACCCTGATAGAGCTCCACACTGAGGCTGGGGAACAGGTGGGGCTCCCCAGAATAAGAACCCAGCCTCCAGAGGGTTTTGTTTGGTTTGGTTTTAGTTTTTCAAGACAAGGTTTCTTTGTATAGTCCTGGAACTTGTTCTGAGGATCTGCCTGCTTCTGCCTCCAGGATACTGGGATTGAAACCTTGCTTTGTTTTAACTGCTTTTATGTCGAGTTTAGGTCATACTGGTCTTTCTTTTACAAGCCCCTAGAGAGCCATAGTGTGTCAACACTGAAAATGATTATAATGGATACGGAGTTATAAGAGATATGGAGGCAGAAATGGGTACCAAGTCTTCTTATTTTGTGAAAAATCAATGTACAAAAAACCCAAGATCACAAAATAAAACCTCTAGATTTTGCATAAAGATATTTTGAAGAGAGTTTCACCACAGGCTTCCTGCAAGAGTAAGTTCGGGTTCTGTATTAAGAATCTGAGGTGTTTATTTGTTGCCTGTCTGGTTTTTTTTTTTTTTTTTTTTT